ACATTATGAATAACATTTCAACACTTTAACCACAATAAGAAGTTTCAGCGGATATTAATAACCCATTCAAGTTTCATACATAATTGTACCATCTTCTACTATCAATTATTCCAACAAATTTATGAAACTCATCATCCTAAGAATATCTCAAACTCAAACGATACATCTCCACTCGTTGAACATCGAATTAGCTAAATTGTCTCTCCAATTTGACCACTGATCGGATGTCTCAACTGCATCAATGAAAGACGGGTCTTCATCTGTACCTTCACCGTTTTCTTCATCTTCTCCAATCATGCTTTCCATTGGATCTACCGGTAGCTCACGGCGAATAAAATTATGAAGAAGGACACATGCCATGATCAATCTATTTTGAGTTTTAATATCATAAAATGAAGGACTACGAAGAATCGCCCATCTTTTCTTTAAAATTCCAAAGGATCTTTCAACAACATTCCTTGCTTTCGAATGACACATGTTGAAAAATTCAAAAGAATTTTGTGGTGTTAGTCTCCCTTCCCCCCAATCTTTCAAATGATACCTAACACTCTTGTATGGGGTCAAAAAACCTTCACCGTTCGTATAACCGTTATCACAAAGGTAGTAGTTACCTACACAGAACATACTTGTTTTATCATTATTGGTATATTAATCCATGGTAGTGAATGACCATTATCTTAATAACATTTTTGCAATTTTATATTACCTCGAGGTATTTTTAACCCGTTGGATCGACTTACAGCATCTTTTAGCACACGACAATCAGCGGCAGAGCCTTCCCACCCACATAGAACGTAGACAAAATTTAGATTACGGTCTACTACGCCTAGAACATTTACTGCAACTTCACCCTTTCTTGTTCTGTAGCGTGGCTTATCAGTTTCCGCCACTGTCACTCTAATGTAAGTGCCATCTAAAGCACCTAGACACCCCTATGAAACGTGCATCATCATTAAGATTTCCTTACGTTTATTAAAACTGAAAAAATATTTTTTTTATAAAGAATCTCAAAATAAAATATTACAAAATTACCTTGAACCACCTCCATCTGTTGTTATTAAGGCATGACTCATCTACGGGTTCTGGTTTCACTAGAAGCATAGAGTGGAGCCGCAAAATCGCACATAAAACCTCATGCACATATATGCTGACGGTATGACTAGACCTTTTAAAATCAAACTTTACAACTTTCATCTTCTTATGGTGAGCTATGATGGATAAAAAGAGTGCCACTTTCTCCGTAAGGGTAACATATTTGGAATCAGATAATCCCCCAGCATCGCGAAGAATGTAGCAAAGCCTTGCAAACGCTCCCTTAGTCATCCTTAGATTCTCCATACAATCTAATTCATTTAGCGCGACCAAATTGTTTAAATGTTCTATTTGCATAGGAATCCTAGAAGCCATCACATATTTGATTCGTTTAGTTAAAAATTTAGTCCTATTACGTTGTCCTCTCCTTCCTGCTGCAACAACCATACTCATAAAGAAGGTACATTCTTTTATGATTTCTTCTAGTAGAAGTAAAACTTCAGCTTTTCTACTACAGATCTCGGACATTGCGTACACGACCTCAACCCCAACCTTTGGTTAAAAAAAATAACAATAAAAATAAAAACACAAAAGACAGAACAATGATAAGAACAAGTTTGGAATTTGAAAATTGTGATGATTCATTGACTTATCCACGGATCGAACATGTCATTGCCCAAATATTATGTAGCTCAAACTGAATACCAAACATAGTACCGGGGTAGACAAATTCATTTTAAAATCCAAGTACTCCATAAAAATAAAGAGTGTTAATCTGTGTTTTTTGAACCAATATCATAAAAAACAGAACAATACGTGTACTCGAAAGAAGAACATAAGATATGTATGTAGTATTTGCAAACATATAATAATTAAACACATATATTGTTTTCTAACCTTCGCTGCTATGGAGAGATTAATTATCTAGTGCGACGACGAGGAGAGACGTCCGAATCCAGTCAAAGACGAGAAGATCCAGCAGCGATAATTCGAAAAAAAAAAACCTAAAACAAAAGAGGGTAAACATTGTTAGACCAAAGAAAAAATAAATTACATGGTGGGTATAAGAACTCGTGGATGGACGACTTCCTACAAGAAGAGGATAGAAGTAATGCTCTTCAATTTCGCACATGGAGCAGGACAAACCCTAGCTTACAGACATCCTCGAACAAATGAAGGCAAATCTCATGACCTCTATTTTTATATAAGGGTGTTTTGGTCAAATTTCAGAAAAGCAGTTTAAGTGGGATATGGCATCCCTAGCCCATCGCCGGATGTGGTTTCCCATTTCTTGGGTATAATTGGACCGGGCTGTGCACATTTCAAGGGCCAACATTAAATGAACCAAACTAATTATTTGTGTGGAAATAATAAGAACTCACGTGATATCAGGTCCAATCAAAGCAACCAAACCCACCCTTATTGAATATCATGGGAAATTTAATTCTGCGAATACGCAATTAGTAATTCGTTTGGGATTGGATACAAAAGTTTATTTCAAAGACGGAATTTGCGATTCTTAATAGGAAGCTTATTGGATGCAAAAGTTCACTTTAAGGAAAAGTTTCTTGCCTCTCTTCAAATTCAGCTTTTTGCCACTAGTAAATAGCGAAAAAAATATCCAAATTTTGTTCAAGTGTATAATTCATTGATTTCATTTAAAAAGAATTAATTTATTTTGAACTAAAATAAAATTAATAAAAGATTAATCTAACATGATGTGAATTAAAATATTTTTTGCTAATACATAATTAAAAAAGTCTAAAATTTGAGACCGAGCTACTGTTCACCATAGCTTTTTGGGGTGGCACTGTCCCTAATTTGATTGTTCATGTTGTGAATAGTGTACTAAAAATTGAGTTAGGCGTCGGTAAACATCTCCGATTTGGGTTGATTGGCCTAAAAAATAATTAGGCGGCGTATAGGAGCTCCTCGGTGGCTAGGCTATTTAATTTTCTAGATTTTTTTTCTACTAAGTACAGAATGACGTCGTTTTGTATTCCAATCTTTAATTTTGTAATTACAGAATAACGCCGTTTTATACAATTCAAAAAAGCATCTATTAAATAGATTTTTTTTAAAAAAAATACTATTTAAATATGCACAATAAAATTATAAAAATAATTAAAGCATAAAAATTTGAAAATCAATGATGAAAATTTTATTATTATATTTATCACAACGTTACAATAGAATCTAATTTATCAACATTAATAACAAAATACGGTGATTTCTTATTCATTTGGTAATCAACCATAAACTAAAATATTTTTTATTGTGTCTTAAAAACACATTTAATCAAGAGGATTAGTTTAGAATCATTTGATTTATTAATAACTTAACCGGTTTATTTTTTTTTTCTCCAGAACGATAGAGATATTATATAAAATGACAAATGTGCAAAGAACAGTCATCAGCTGATTACAAACAACTAACAGCTGAATACAAGCAGCCAATAGCTGAAAAAGTGGGAGGACAGGTCAAAAGACCGCCTAGAACCGACCCCAACGAGGTAATACTCGAGAACACTACAAAACACACACACAAAAAAACAAAAACAACACAAAGACCCCAACAGAGTAATACCCTAGTGTCGGGCCCTAACAGGATAATAAGGTGACAATCGGACACACAGAGGCCAACGACCTAAACCTAAAACACAAAAACAAACACCTAACATAATCGACATACTAAAACTACTACTACTGCTACTACAACCCTTCCCACAACAGAAAACCTCGCAAACACAACAATGGCGGTCAAAACCCACGACTCGATCCAGAAACTGCAAGAGAACGCCTAACTGGATTAGGTTTTTCAAAAATTGTAAACGCAATTTTCTATAATATCAAATGAAATTTAACTATATATTTAAAATAACAAACTAAACTTTATCCTTAATAATAAATAATTGCACGGGCTACACGAGAGAAGGGAAACAAATAAATTATTATTATTATTTTTTTTTGCAAATAAATTAATTATTATTTAAATCAACAATTATTGATTAGAAAAAATGAGAATGTAAAAAATAATACAGAAAGAGTGCAGACCACGCTCCTATTCATCGCGTGGCACAAGTGGTTGGTGAAGTGCGATTTATCGTAAATACGACGCCACATGTTCACAAAATTCAATCTCTGTTTGTCTCCAGAGTCCAGATAGAGTAGTGGTTTCAGTCGGATAGAGATATAGCACTGAGTTAACTCAGCCACAGGACACGAGCTCAGCAATGGCGGTAGTTTCCACCTCGCTCGGCGGCGCCGCCGCCTCCACCCATTTGAACCAGTTCTCCGGCCTCCGGAAGTCGTTCCTCAAGCCCGACGGCTCGAACTCTAATTCAACCCAGTCACTTTTGCAAGTTGTCGACTCGCATCTCCGCCTCGCTTCACCGAGTAAAGGCTTCCGTGGCGTTGTCGCCATGGCAGGCTCTGGAAAGGTGACTTACCTTTTTTTTCCTTTAGTTATGGTGTTTTTGTTTAAATCTTATTTATTGCGTTTATTTTTCAGATCTGAAACTAGTTGAATCAATTGTATTTCTTCTCTTACGGANAAAAAAAAAAAAATTGTAAGATAAAATTCTCAAGAATGAATATTACAATGTTCATGTTTATGAATGAATGTTTTTTTTTCCCCAACGAATTTCATAGAAGATGGTAATTAAGTTGGGAAATGCAAATTGGGGCAGTGAATCAATGGGATAATTTTTAGTTTACGTGCATCATGTCAAATAAATGATTTATTTTCTTTAGTTCTTGTTATTACGATCCTAGTTTTAATGATGTTGGGTATGTTTGTAAAGTTAGCTGATAGCTATAAAATATCTAATTAGTTTATAATGAATTTCGAGATGGTTTATGATTGATGGATGAAAAGTTAACTGATATAATAAAAGTATTTGGTAAAACTAGTTAACTATCAATTGAAATAAAAATTTGATGGATTTGAAAAACTACCAGCTCTTTAAAAAAGTCCATCCTATGAAATCAAACTTATTTGGATACAAGAAGCTTATAAGCTAACTAAATAAGTTATGAGCTAGCTTATGGTGCTCATAACACACTCATTGTGCCACCTTATGTTTATTGATTTATTGTCTAAATGTAGCTGTTGCTTGTTTGTTAATTTGCTAAGAGTATGATTGTTGTTTTCTTTTCCTTGCAGTTCTTTGTTGGTGGAAATTGGAAATGTGTAAGTACTGATTTTGTTGCGTGAAGATGTCATATTTTCAGTTCTAAAGCATTTCTTTAGTTGTTGACTTTTGGTTTTGCCCGTTTCTCCTTGCACGTCTCGTACAATTTTCTTTAGAATGGGACTAAAGAGTTCATAAGCAAGCTTGTTTCAGACTTGAACAGTGCAACATTGGAATCTGATGTCGGTGAGTTCTTTTGTGCTGCTGATAAATGGTTTTTGTTAGTTTGAACAAATTGTTCTATGTGTTGTAGTTTTGCTTTCAAGAGATTCTGTATACCTGGTTTTTCGGTTCATCCACATGGTGGAGATAATATCTACTAATTATTATTATTATTATTATTATTATTATTATTATTATTATTATTATTATTATTATTATTATTATTATTATTATTNGTTGTAGCGCCTCCATTTGTTTACATTGATCAAGTGAAGAACTCGTTATCCGATCGGATAGAGATAGCTGCCCAAAATTGTTGGACTGGAAAAGGTGGTGCTTTTACTGGAGAAATTAGGTGTGTAATAATATTGGAAGATTTTGGTTATGGTGATTTAGAATTTCTTGTTTGTGATTTAGTGAAAGACTGTGTTTTCTTCGCGATCAGCATTTTATATGGATAAGCTACTCGTTGTATGGTATGTTTCCCTATTGGCCTTAACGGCTGACTCAATTAGTTTGGCGTGGTTTTATTCTCTAATTCATACATTGATACATTACAGTTACTTTATGAGCATCTCTAAAGCTTCTCTTATGCAATTGTCTTGTGCATCATTTGGTTGTGATGTGGCAAAAAATTAAGTGGACCTTGTCAAGTAGAAAGTCAATTTTTAGACCTAAGAATAAACCTTTTTTATTTTTATTTTATTTTTTTGTTTTCCAATTCAATTTTCTTGTATGAGACATGGTTTATTGTTGTGCCACGCTTGTGCCCCCATAAGAAGCAGATTACTATTGTGTATTTTGATTCTCGTTGAATGTCATGTTATATTTAATTTGCTTCTTTTGGCGAATCTCCTGCATTTTCTTTATCATGGAATTTGCCAGTAAAGCCTTTTTTAAAATTGCAGCGTGGAACAACTGAAGGATCTTGGTTGCAAGTGGGTGGTTTTGGGACATTCTGAGAGGAGACACATAATCGGGGAAGATGACCAAGTGAGGGAAACTGAAAAATTCTTTCGACTTCTGCTTATATTATTTAGAAAAAGAAAAAAAAAAAAGTGACAATTCAAGATTTCATTTCAGCTCATCTTATTCTTGCCATTGCTTCTCTATGTTTCACAACTTTTATCAAGCACTACCTTTTCTAGTTCATAGGTAAGAAGGCTGCATATGCCTTGAGCGAGGGTCTTGGAGTAATAGCTTGCATTGGGGAGTTGCTGGAAGAAAGAGAAGCTGGAAAAACTTTTGATGTTTGTTTCCAACAGATGAAGGCTTATGCCGGCACGTTATCTCTCTCTCTCTCTCTCTCTCATAAATAAATAAATAATAATCTGTTGGTACTTGTGCAGAGGCCGTTCCAAGTTGGGACAACATTGTTGTTGCCTATGAGCCTGTATGGGCAATAGGAACAGGTAAAGTGGCCACGCCAGAGCAAGCTCAGGAAGTACATGTGGCTGTTCGTGATTGGTTGAGTAAGAACGTGTCAGCAGAAGTTGCTTCTAAAACACGTATTATCTACGGAGGTATGCTTATACCCTCTCAACAGCCATTTTGTAGCTCATAACTGAATGAGTACTGAAATTAAGAGTGTGTTTGGTAAGCACCACAAACTAGCTTATAGCTTATTTGGTTAGTTTTTCAAATATGCCCGTTGAAATTTCTATTTCAGCTTTCATATCAAGCTTCTCAGCTATAAACTCGAAATTCACTTATAAGTTATCGGCTAACTTATTGGCTATGGGTCCAAGTTATAGCTAGTCTGACTATACTGGTGCGAAATCGTTTTGCCAACTTGCTAAAATAATCCTTTTTTGTTCCCTTTAATTTTTTTATTTGCCACAGGTTCAGTCAATGGCGGGAACTGTGCTGAGCTTGCCAAACAAGAAGATATTGATGGCTTTCTTGTGGGTGGTGCATCTCTTAAGGTATGATCTCGATTTCTTTAGGCGATGAGCTTTTTGTGACAATAGTTATTTTTGTAGGCCGATATGGTTTGGGGTCGGACCTAACCCCTAAAACTAAATGTCAAAGAAACTAAAATTACTCCCTAGAAGAACTAAAGAACCTAATATTTTAAATTTAGAACCTGACAAAAATTGGCAAAATAGAACTAAAAAGTCGAAATCTTTGCCTTGCTTGCTGGAGTGTTTCTCCTCGGGTTATTTGATCAAGTTTGTACCATTGTTTTTTTTTTTTTGTTCTTTTTGTTTTCACTTTTTTATTTACCCTTCTTTCCACACATTGATTCAATCTGACATGATGATTTTTCTTCGTTAGGGCCCCGAATTTTCCACCATTATCAACTCTGTGACTGCCAAGAAGGTGGCTGCTTGATTTTTTTCAATACAAGAAAAATAAAAAGGCTCAGAGATCGTATTGTTGTACAAGTGTCTTTCGGCTAAAGTTATGAGCCATTTGGGTATAACCTGAATTGCTGTCATGTAACAGGATCACATAGCTTCACCTGTTTAGTAATGCATAAATTGGACCCTTAAATTATGGGATCATATGATGCCATGTTATATAGGGCTTGTGTTGAGTTTCTTTCTTTTTTTTTCTTTTCTTTTTTGATGATTTGTTTTGTTGTATCTCATAAAGTTATGACCACCTGAACATCTGGAAAATAAAGAGGATTTTATGCCTCAGTTTTGAACATTTTTATTACCTACTGACAAGCTTTTAGTTGGGTTTGGATTGTCATTATCCATCTATCTTTTTTTCTATCTGAGCTACAAAGTAAACTATGGTCTCTATGGAACATTTTTACTTACCGGCCATTGCACACTTATTGGATTTCTTACCGTTGGTTTAACACACTCGTGGGTATATATGTGTGTGTTAGATCCAATCCAACAGTGAAAAACTCATTGTTGGTTTAACACAATAATGTATGTTTATGTGTTAAATCCAACACAATAATGTATGTTTATGTGTTAAATCCAACCCAATAGCAAAAAACTCGATAGTCTAATTCGGTAAACCATACGGTTTCACAAAAGAGACAACACTGAGGATCTGCAGTTAAATTATATCTAACTAGCATGTCTAGTATCAAAATATATGCATGTGCTCTATAATTTTAGAAGTATACAATTTTGTATTATTTTGGTTGATAACGAATTTAGATTATCAATTAAATTAGGATTTAATTTTATATACTTTTGAAATTCAATTTTCAAGCTTTTAACGTTTAAATTAATTGGATTAAACTTTCTCCTAAATCTAATATATAACGAATAATTTCCTCATTAAGTTAATTTTACTAGATATATCTAATGTTTTTTTTTAATTATGTCAAATATAAATTATAAAACAAATTACTAATAATATTTAGTTCATGCAATTATATTAACAGATACAGCTACTTTAAACCTCAGCAAAATCACAAATTTTCATATGATGTGATGAGTCACGTATACTATGTAAACAAGAATGCATACTTATATTATCAAAATATTTTTAAATTATGACATTTTTTTAATATAATGATACGGTCCGAGATGGATGACTCCGGTCTTTCAAAGGGTTCGCTACGAGTGTGGCGTAAGTGCGTTTAATTCGGTCCGGTCTAAGCTCGAGTGCACGCCGGTACCTGCAAATACGCGGGAATTGCTCCGGCGCAAGACCCTCCGACGTCCAAGTCAATATTTCGGAATAGGAGAATTAATGAGTATTGAATGTAATAGTGTTTGTAATAAATGATGTCTTACCTTCTCCTAATAGAATTTATCATATATATAGCGTTTTTTGTACGGACCCCCTTCTGGAGCCATAGGTCCTTAGATTCTCATCGACCGAATGCTAACCGGTCGACGTCTACACGTATGAGTCGACCTCCGACCCATTTCACCATGTGGCAGACTAGGACGGTGTTCGACCACCCACTCCGGTCGACCTCCACTCGGTCACAAGTCTCGCTCGACCATTCTGACTGGTCGACCACTCTCAGCCCATTCCACTTGGACCGGCCTTTAGGCCCATATGGTCTTGGTCCTACGGGTCTATGTTTGGCCAATTGTACTAATATCCCTATCATATAATTATATAAATTTATTGAGAAGGTATACTAATTAAATATTTAGACTAACCATAATTATTAGGAAGGGATAGATATTAGGAATGGAAGCATGTCCAATTCATAACGGCAATTAACATATTTTTTAGTTATTACCAATAGTTGGATCTAATTTCTATTTCGTCTTCAATAAAACTTAAAAAAGCCCCCTTTGAAAATACATTATTTGCCCCAACACCCCTACCTTGCCGAGACTCGATAGGCAAAAAGCCCCCGTAGAGAAAATCGGAAAATAACATACAAATCCGCTCACATATCCATATACATACAGCCTACAGCCCATATACGTACACAAAGATGAAGCCACCAAAGAGGCCGATCCAAGCCGCGTCGTCATGGGTGCGGCGGCAGCCGCCGAAGGTGAAGGCGTTTCTAGCCGTTATCAGCGGCATGGCGGCGCTTGTCATCCTACGCGCCATCGTCCACGATCACGACAATCTCTTTGTGGCAGCGGAGGCCGTGCACTCGATCGGAATTTCGTTTCTCATCTACAAATTGATGAAGGAGAGAACCTGCGCAGGTACGGCGTCGTTCTTTTTCGGTGTTGATTGACTTTTTTTTTAATTATTATTTGGTGGGTTTTGAGAATTGATTCGAAGCTCTGTAATAACATAGCAATGGCGTCATTCTGAAATATTTTTTTCGTTTGTTAGGACATTGAAAGATTGAATTTTATGGGTGTGCGTGTATGAGTGTCTTCCATTTGTAGACATTGTATGAACGATAATTGGACTTATAATTTGTTGGCAATTGATTGATTGGTGACAAAGATTGTAGCTTTTTGGCAATTGGGACACTTGGGTGGTAATTCCTCTTATTATTGAGATTTGGGGCCACGATAAGTGATCCTGATTTTTCTTTGTTTCAATGCTTAGATTGTGAGCTTAGTTGCTGCCTCTTAAACAGAAATACGATTAAAAGAAACTAAAATAAGAGATTACTAGGTGCTTTTCTTCACGTTGGAGGTAGTTGCTGATCTGTTTACTTCATTTAAGTAAAGGATGAAAGAAAGAAATGCTTGGAGTTTACAATACCTTTTCTTTAACTTGTGTGCTTGTTTAAAGTTATATGGAAACAATTTTGCTCTATTATGCTATAACAGCCGTGTTTTTAATTGTAGTGTTGCTGACATCGTTCATTTCTTCACTGTTTTGGTATGTTATGTTAGTCTTTCGGTCTATCGCAGTGGATCTTCTTGAAAATTTAAGAACTAAATGTTCTTTAGTCTCTGCAATGGATGCAGTTAAGGGATGCTTGCTTGTTAGGCAGAAAAAGTGTATCTTTTAATGAGACTGGTTATGTGCTTTTGGGAATAACGTTTGGATGCTGGAATTCACATCAAACTTTTTTCTTGTGTATGAATTTCCTCCCAAGTTTTACTCTTTTCTCTTGGAACTATTTATTGGATATTTGAGTTTGTGTGTCTACTTGAAGTCTTGATATTTCACCTATTCTAGCTTTTATGTATACATCACTCAGTGTGATGATAAGCCATATATTATTTCAAATTTTATTTGATAAATTTTCGATGCTGATTACCTCCCCACTTCTTTGATTTGTTTTCATGACAGGTCTTTCACTAAAATCCCAGGAGCTAACAGCTATATTTCTGGCTGTTAGATTATATTGTAGTTTCGTAATGGAGTATGACATACATACTCTGCTTGACTTGGCGACTTTGGCTACTACCTTGTGGGTCATTTATACGATCCGTTTTAAATTAAACTCGAGCTACATGAGTGATAAGGACAATTTTGCACTATATTATGTGGTAAGTGATCTTGCAAAAATATTGACATTTTTATCTCTTGCTTCTGATTGGATTTCATCTTTTCTCATTAGATTGATGAAAAAACAGTTTAGAGATGCAAATTTTCACACCCGTGAATACATAGTTCTCTATATATGTTTCTTGCTTTGTAGCAGAAGCCAAGATTAATATTCCTTTTGTGGAGTTAGCCTTTGTTGTTAATTCATGCACAAAGATGTAATTGAATGCGGGGTTTATGCCCCTTGACTCGTATATATACAGGCTATAATTGCGGGTTTGGTAACCAAATAAACTAGCTTATAGCTTATTTGATTAGCTTATAAGTTTCCTGTACTCAAATAAGCTTCGTTTGGTAGGGCGAGTTTTTTTAAAAAACTCGAGTTTATCTTATACGCTTCTTTGGGTAGCTTTTCAAATAAGCTCGTTGAATTTTTTATTTATCAGCTAATTTTATCAAACAATTTTACCATATAAGCTAGCTATCAGCCATAAGTCGTAAGCTATAAACTATAAGCTCGAAAATCACTTTTATAAGCTTATCAGCTAGTTTTACCAAACATAGCCATAGCCTCTTCGACTTTTGGTCCCAAGTAGTATCTCTTACAAAGTAAACTTTTTAATGCATTCTGTGATTAAAACTTGTTCATACGTCTCTATTTTTCCTCTTTTAAAGCTCATGAAATGCTTTGGCTTTATGAAGTAACCAAGTTTTTCTTGTGCAGCTGCTTCCTTGTGCTGTTTTAGCTCTATTGATCCATCCATCCACGTCACATAACATTGTGAATAGGATTGCTTGGGCTTTCTGTGTTTACTTAGAAGCGGTTTCAGTGCTACCACAATTACGCGTGATGCAGAATACTAAGGTACGCACAAAAAATTCAAACCAAAATAAAATAAATCGGGCAACATTAATCACATATTGAACAGAACATGAATCACATTTACTTTATGAAGTGTAGACGGGTTTTGTGCTTTTTTATTTATTTATTTTTTTTGACAATCTTTCATTGACAGATTGTGGAACCTTTCACCGCTCATTATGTATTTGCGTTGGGAGTCGCGAGGTTCTTGAGCTGCGCTCACTGGGTTCTTCAGGTCTGATTTATGAACTTAATTATATACAAATTTAATTAAGAATGTGTTTGGTAAGCACCATAAGCTAGTTTATAGCTTATTTGGTTAGCTTATAAACTTTCTGTATTAAAAAAGCTCAAGCTTATCTTATAAGTTCCCTTGGATAACTTTTCAAATAAATCCATTGAAATTTTTATTTCAACTAACTTATCAGCTAATTTTTACCAAACACTTTTACCATATAAGCTAGCTTTTCATCTATAAGTCATAAGCTATTAACTATAAGCTCCCAAAAGAGTTTTTTTTTTTAAATGGGCAAAAAAAAAAAGGTTAAACCTTTTCATTTCGAATAGAATCTAGAAACTTCTTTGTACGGAAGCAAATTTTAATGCCGGGAGGAATTAAGCAACACTTATTTTTTAATCGTACTCTACAGGTTTTGGACAGTCGTGGCCATCTACTCGTTGCATTAGGTTATGGACTTTGGCCCTCGATGGTTCTTATATCAGAAATTGTTCAGACCTTCATCCTAGCAGATTTTTGCTACTACTATGTTAAAAGGTCCTCTTTTCGTTCAATCCTCGTTAACTGATTGTTCGATTTATTTATAGTTGTTATTTATTTATTTATTTATTTTCGGCTGCAGTGTTTTTGGAGGTCAGCTTGTTTTGCGCCTTCCATCTGGAGTGGTCTAATCGGCTGGTTGCATAAAAGCGCTATTTTCGATCTTACTATTAATGGAGCCCTGCAAATTGCTGGGAACAGAAAAGGGGAAAAACAGGAAAATTATAATATCAACCTCAGAAAAAATTAATCATGTTGACTTATTTATCTCAGTTATAAGTTTGTTTTTAGTTAAGAGTGGATCTAAATAGACTGTGAAATACTTCCACTTGAACAAGTGTNGTTTCTTGCCACCGTAGAACTTCACCTTGTAGTTTTGTTCTAACGATATTACATTACAGTCTAATCTTGTTTTCTTATCATATTGCCTTATTAGCATGTACAGTGTAAATTGTGAAACATATACATATAAAATTTATAAAGAAAAGAGAGAGAGATAGAATATTATCTTTCAATTATTTATTTGGATTGTGGAAAAGTGTAACTCATGCCAAATAATAATTTATTCAAGAATAAATAGATTTTTGTTTTTTGAAAATTTGTCTCGCCTAAAAAGAAAATGGAAAAGTGGAAATAATTATTTTTTAAGAAAGTAGATAAATTTGAGATAAAGAATTACTATTATATATATATTATTAAAATTAACGTGGTATAAAAATAATATGATATTAACCTATAGTGATGGATTATAATATGTTACTGGATGAAAAATATTTTCTAATATATATAATAATGTTTGAATTTTATTTTTCAATTATATTGGTGGGATTGTAGAGAAAAAATAAAAGAAAATGAGATCAAATTGAAATTTTTCTAGTTCAGCTCACAACTCAAAAGGATAAATCCTGAGCGACTAAATAAGTTTAAATATTAATATATCCAATTAGGTTGTAGTCTGAAAAGACTTCATTCAAGATGCTATTGTAATTTTTTGTTTTCATCTGAATTGGACACTTCAAATACCATAATAAATGCTAAAGAACCCACAAAATAATTCTTTTTCCTTATCTCTAATACCTAATAATCACTTTTTGTGATTGCAAACACTCATGCCTAATTGTTTATAAGCTATCTATCTTGTCACTGGCCACATATCTTTCAACTCTTTTCAATATAATTAATATAATTAAATAACACAAATCAATCATTCACAAATATCATCAATCAATCAATCAATCAACAAGCCTTAAAATCCCACTAAGTGGGTCAGTTATGTGGATCACATACCACTATCGTGTTCGATCAAAGTACACATCTTCATTCAAATTTAAATATTTTAAATTATTTTTTATTGTCTCATTCCAAGTTTCCTTCTGTCTACCTCTCCCCTTTTAAAATTTTGCATTCTTAATTCTAATCTTTCTACCATTCTCATCGATGCCTTGAAGTCTCTTATACGCATTTAATTCATTGTTCATCCACTCACATAATTTTAATTATTCATTACTTTCAATCACATTCTCCTACTTTTACATCAAACTAATTTTAATCATTATATTTAAATATTATTTTAATACAAACTTAAAATCTCACTCAAATTTATCTCAATGAACATTTTAAAACATTTTAAAAATTATCTCTGATCAACCAAAAAATCAATCAAACCTAGAATAACTTATATCGTAATCATCCCTTTAATTCTTTATGCTCACAACCTATAGTTTTTACAAAATTTTTTTTGGACCATTCATCTCATGGTCTGGTCATGGTTTACAATACACTCATTATAGGAAAGCTCCAAAAGACTTGTGGGTTAGGCCAACTTTTTTTTATAAAGAAACACAAAACCACTTGTGTTCATCTCTTCTCAATGTCATAAAATACAAATCCCAATGAGCTTTTGTGGTAAACAGAAATAAACAAGTCATGGTTTTCATGGAAAAGGAGAGTTCCAGAAAGAACACAGCTGTGATGCAAAGAATTTGACTGCTGATGACCGTGTTTTGTTGGAGACTTAGAAAGTGATGATATTAAATTATATTTTGCATACCATATTTAAGATATGATATTTTATTGATATTATTAAATTATATTTTGCATAACATATTTAAGATATGATATTTTATTGAATTGTAATATCGATAATATTGATAGTCGGTCACTGATTGGGTACAAACAATATTGGACTCACTACAAAAAAATATCATATTCTATCAAAAAATCTTACGAAAATATATTCTAATAGAAATTTCAACAGATATTCTAATGGTATAGCTTCCGTTGAAATTATTCCAACGAAAATTCCAACGGAACTATTATGTCTATTATATTGGAATGAGTTTTTCATTGGAATTTAGAGAAATTTTATCATTCCAACAATCATTATTTCAACGGCTTTTTACCGTTGGAATATACAATTTCCGTTGGAATTGTCAAAATCTAACGGAAATTCCAATAGAAAACTCATTCTAATGAAATATTTTTGTTGGCATTTCCGTTGGAATCCATTGAAAAATTCCAACGAAAATAATAGTATTGGAATATCTATTGAAATTGCCGCTAGAATTCTGTTTGTCCCATTTTTGTTGCGATTTTCGTTGTCATTTTGCCTTTCTTTTTCTCCCATATTAGGTATTTTCGTTGGTTTTTAGTTCGTTTTGTAGTTTATTGTGTGTTTTGTTCTATTTTTTGTTTTCTATGTGTTTTCCGTATATTTTTTCAGTTTTTCTTTGTTTATGGTATGTAGGTCGGAAGCCTAGGGAGGACCGAATTTCAGGCGAAAATTAGTCGGGCAAGCGTAATTAAATAGAGGAGTTCGTTGGGAACACACATGAAAAAGCAGAATCGAATTCCTAGTCGAAACGAACCTAAACGAACCCGAGAAGCAAAGTCCAGTGGGCTGCCCAAGCCCCGCGCCACACGCCGCGACCCCGACTGAGGCTCCCAGGTCCTGCGCGCCACGCCGCGATGCCCAGCATGCCGTGGCACTGCCTCAGCCTCACGCCGCGTCATAGCTCGCGGTGCCTGCCTGACACGCTTGGACAGAAGACGCGCATCAGACCACCACGCCGCTGTAGTGTGCTGCGTCGCGGCACCCATGTTAACTCGCGCCGCGATGCTACCCCGGCCCGCGCCGTGGCACCACTCCTCTCCGCGCCGTGATGTTTCCCCGCGCCGTGACTCAAGCCCGTCTATATATATATATTTGGATCAAGACTTCGATAGAATTCTCTCCACTTCTGGGAGATGAACCCTAGCCCGAAAAAAACACGAACACTCCTTTTTTCTTCCTTCCTTCTTCTTCTTCTTCATTTTTCTTCTTCTCTTTAATCTTTCTTTTCCATTTTTCTTCTTCTTCTTCTTCTTAGTATTTAGGGATTAAGCTTTGTAAGTAGATTCAACACGTGAATTTGGATTGATTGTAAATATTTCCTTCTGCTAGGGATAGGGGATGATTGTTTTTGTTTCATTCGTATCTGTCGGGCTTGATTCGTTTGTTCTTATGCGAGTTAAATTGATTAGGAATCGATGAAATCTTGTTTGTTTAATTGATATAATCGAAGAGTGACACTTCGATTCTGTAATTGGAAACGATTAATTGTTGATTAGTCGAGTTAGGGTTTTGTTGATTCTAAATGGTTAGTTGATTAATTCTCTAATTGAATTAATGACTTTTAGAACCGAAAGGGGAGAAGTCGTAGACCTAGGCTCGCATGAGGTAGATGATTTCGTAACTGAATAGTCTATAGGTTCTGGATTGAAATACACGCTTGTTGATGACCCGTCCCTTGTTACGAAAAGTTATTGGGACTGGGATAATTGACATGTGTTGTATGCTCGAGCTAGCTCGCTATGTTCAATCCCTTGTTACGAAGAGTTATTGAGAGCGAACCGCCAGATGTCTAAGCGAGAGTGTCAATCTCGAACCGAACGATCACTTTCCTGGCTCTACGTTGCGAACTTGAATAAATTATCCCCGATTCCCTAGCTTCTTTATCGTTGTCTAGTTTGGTATTTTAAGATTTATGTTTTTATGCTATTTCTTAGTTGATAATTAATTCCTCTCCTATCTGATTAGAATGTTTAGGATTTATTTTGCTTTTATGTGCTATCGATACCACTTTTAAATTCCGAACCGCCTTCCTCGAGAGATCGACCCGGGAAACGAATCCTTCGATTCGGTATTCGGTAAAAATAACAATTTGTGCTACAACAAATTCCATTGGGATATATTTTCGTTGGAATTTCATCACATTCTTATAGTGATTGTACTAGAATTGTACCGTAAGCACCGTTCATGATATTGAAAAATATCGATTAGTAAATAATAAAATAAATATAAAAGAAAGAGAAATCAACTATTATAGCTTAAAATTTAAAACATAAAATTGGGAGTCTTTTGTTTTTATCATATTGAGAATATGATATATAGTAACTATAATTTATTTATTTATTTAGATATTTGGTAAAATTTATATATACTATTATATTTTTTGTTACAGTTAATATCAAAATATTAACGATTGAATTTTTAATACCATATATATGTGGCTGAGTCGGTATGACTGGAGGTGAGTAAAATCAAGCCAAAACTAAAAAATCGAGTCGAACTATGCAATTTGGTTCGATTTCTTATTATTTTTAGTATATAAAATTTTCGGTTATTTATTTAACAAGTTCATTTTTTTTTCCCAATTCGTTGGGGGTTTGCATGAAATTATACAAAATGATAAAAGTTTAGAAATACTGAGGTATAATCGAAGATCGAGTCAAATTGTGCATTTTAGTGCAGTTCGATTTGACTCAATCGGTATAAAATAATCTCAATTTTGTAATTCTGTTTCGATTTCATTTTTTGTGTTGAAGGCGGTTCATTTTTTATTTTAATTTTTTATTTTGTGGTGCAATATGATTTTGCACTGTACCGTACCGTGTCACACTTCATACTATAAGTATGTTATTTAAAATATTGATCTACACATACTCTTGGTACTTAGATTGTTCTCACTTCTTCGTTGTAGTTTTTAATTAGTTTGTACTTAGCAATTGATTAGTTTGTACTTTAGCACAGCCAAACGCGGCACAATGCCTTCAGATAACCTTCCACCAGTTGTTGACTTTAAATTTGTTTAATGTTTTTCAAGTATATCCATTATTTGGTTAGCTATGATTGTTATCTTGTGCATCTTTATTTGGGGTGGGTTTGGGTTGTTACCTACAAGTTCACACAAGTTAATAATAATAATAACAATAAAATGAAATTGATATGTAATATTAATGCAAATTTAGTTATGTGATGAATGGACATAAANAAAAACTTTGATTATTTTAGAAGTATCTTTTCTAGGTGTGTAGGACATAATGCCAGGCTGCTTCGATGATTACAGTAATTGTTCATATGCATGCATGGCTTGGTTTTTTTTCCCTTAAATTATTGGTCTTTATTCCACTATAAATACCCCCATTTTATTCCCATTCTAAATCACCCCTCAATTCTAATATTGCAATACACAAACTTTCACTACCCAATACCCTCAAATCTCTAGCAATTACACACACAAACACAATATAATTTTATCAATAAAGAATATGGGTTTTTCTAAAGTCCTTACTGCATCACTTTTTCTGTGTTTGCTGGTTGTTAATGGAGTTCAAGCCATCCAAACAAATGAAGCGGTAATAATATTTCCACTCCTCAAAATTTTCCCATTTTTTCTATTCAATCTGTGTTGTGGTGCTTCTTGATATATGTATGCATCATCACTTTATGGCTGTTTTTGGCATAGGATTTGAAAGGGCTTGCTAATTAACCAAATCATTAAAAAAAAAAAAATTATACAACTATATATATTTCAGAATTATGCATATTCCTTGAAGGTGCAACTAAGAAATAGGAACGAAGTAACATTTTTCACTATTATAAGTTTACAATATTATAATCATTACTATTATTTTCCACTATCCAAATTATTAGTTTTATAACTATATATGTGGGTGTGAGTGTATTTTATCGAATTCTCAGCTTCCTATATGTAATTAAATTCGTTTCCAAACTATCTTTTAACATATATATTATACCATTTGTTTTGCAGGCTAACAAAGTCTTGTACAAGCCCGGACCCACAATAGGTAATTACAAATTATAATCCATCAAGTCTCTATTGTTTCTCGAGTGTTTCTTGTTACAATCATTCATATAACATATCCGGCAAAAATGTAATTTTAGTCTTATTGGATATTTTGCTGCAATTTTATTCTTTTGAGTACTGAAATTGCTACAAAATTTTAAATTACAAGATTGAAATTGCAACAATATTTTAAATTACTTGACTTAAATTACTAATAAAAAATCATTCCAAAAATATAAGTTTGAGAATTTGGGTCCTTAAAAAGACTGAAATTACAATAAAATATTAAATTGCATAATCAAAAAACGAAATATCAGAATATTGGGATTGAAATTACTATGACCAGCAGGATTAAAAAATAAAAATACAATTTAGCCTAACTTATCCTAAGTATTTAATTGATATCATATATTTGTTTACTTGTGTGTAGATTGTGGTGCTTTATGTAAAGTAAGGTGTAGCTTATCATCAAGGCCAAATTTGTGTAAGAGGGCTTGTGGGACCTGCTGCAGCCGGTGCAGCTGTGTGCCGCCGGGCACCTCCGGCAACTATGGGGCTTGCCCGTGTTATTATAAGTTGACTACACGTGGCAACAAGCGCAAGTGCCCTTGAATTTTTATTTATTATTAGTACTTCAAAATCTACACTTTGTGAATTGTGATGCTTGTTTGTTTGTGTTTTTTATTTGCTTTTTAAGTTGGTGTAATTAATTACTTGTGTTGTGGCTTGTACTGTTTCCTTTGTGATGTGTACTTTTGAGTTGTTTATATTGTATGGGGGAAGGAATAATGGTGTCATTTTGGATGATTTCCAACGTGTCACGATCTTGTAATCGTTCAATTACATAAACATGTATGGTATTCTAATCTTGTAATCATTCAATTACTACTTGTGTTAAGATATTGTAATCATGACATGTATGGTATTCTAATCTTGTAATCATTCAATTACTCGTTGTCATTAAGAGTGTAAATGAGCCATGCGAGCTCGAACCCTTAACGAGTCGAACTCAGTTAGGTTTAACTTAACGAGCTTATAATTGAGCTCAAGTTCATGTCGTTTATCAATATTAACGAGCTGAACTCGAGCCGTAACAAGCTGAATTATAAAAAAATACTTAAAAACCATCTTTTCAAACCTTATCAAGTTGAGCTGAACTCGACGACTCGTTAACTTAACAAACTTCAAATGAGGTCTAGCTCACGAGCAACTCGTTTAATTTAAGACTCTAGTTGTCATATCAATTGGCTAACATATTAGTATATATGTGCCCACCGTAGCATATTTTTAAGGCATGGTTAACTTAAAAAGTTAAAACTAGTTTAAAAACAACCCAAACACACATCATCAATCATCATAGAAAAATACTCATATGAGCTTTTTTTTTTTCTCCTTCATTTAAAAATGTAAATAGTAATAATAATTATTGTTTCACTCCTCACACAGTGATTTTCCTTGTGAGTATCCCTTCAAAAGTGATCCCAGGCCCAAAAGCCAGTATTAATCCCCAATCATCACTTTTCTCTCTTCTCATCTCTTCTAACATGTACTCCAAAACATACACAATTGTGTTGCTACTTGCATTCCCATAATCAGCCAAGGCCCTTCTGCTAGCACTCAGCTTTTGGGGCAGCAATTCCAGTTTCTTCTCAAGCCTGTTCAAAATAGCAGGCCCACCTGGATGAACGGCCCAAAACAGCTTGTTGTAATCCTTTTTGGAAAACCCACCAAAGCCCATAAGCCCAACACAGAAATCTTGGATATTGTCTTCGATTATCTGTGGCAACTCCCTGTCCAGCCTGAAACTTATGCCCTCTTCTGTTAGTTTACCATCAATGATCTTTTCAGTACCTGTCAGAGATAAAGAAATAGGATTAATTGCTTAAAGATCCTTGAAATTTGATGTGAATTGCAAATGGAGCCTCTGCACATTTTCGTTAATCCACGAACAAGATTTATAAATAAATAACCCGTACAGTTTTATATGTTACTCGTCATGTTCATATTTTCCTGATATTGTCGTAGTATATAAAATTTTCCAAAACAATCCAATCATTTTTAACCAATCACTTTAACTCAATCTCACTATCTGCAATATTATCAATATAATTAAATAATATCACCCAACCATTCTTACACATTTGCATCAACTTTAATTCACTATTCATACACTCACTTAAATTTTAACTAAATCACTTCACATCATTTCTTTCCTACATTTATTTTATTTTAAATATTATTTTAATATAAACTCAAAATCCCACTAACAACTAACCATACCACTTTTTCCAAAATTAACCATACCAAACCAAAAAATCCAAACAAAATCAAAACTATCTTATATCCAAGCATAGCAACTTCCCAAAAATCCTTAAAAAGGACCAAAACTCAATATTTCATATCAGTTGAGCTGTGATCTTGTGTATCAGTTGAGCTTACTATTTACATATCAGATATTGATATTCTAACTAACCGAGCAAACCATAGTTTTAATCCATAATCGTTTAAAAGATAAAGAGAAACAAAAAAAAATCAAAAAAACGTTACCGGGCAAGAAATGTTGTTTGGCAGTATGCAGTTCGAAAAGAGGAGTTTCAGTCTCAAAATCAGGATTCGACCCAATTATCAAAGCCCCGGCCCCATCTCCAAACAGGGCCACGCCCACTAAATCATATGGCCTATCAGCATTTGGTGGCCTGTATCCAATTACAGTAGTTTCTGAGGTTACAAGCAAAACTCTACTCCCTGGATTATTCTCAGCAATGTCTTTCGCGACCCGAAGGCCCGCAACTCCGCCCGAGCAGCCCGAAAAGTAGAGCATAGTCCTCTGGGTGTTGGGCCGGAGGCCCAGCCCGTTTGCCAGGTAAAGATCACCGCCGGGCAAACGGGCTTCGCTGGAGGAGACGTAGACTAAGTGGGTTATGTCCGAGATGGGCCTGGCCCATTTCTTGATGCAAGATTGTGATGCCTCAATTGCCATTTGCGTGACTGCTGTGTTGCAAATTTCTAGCCTTTGTTTCACTGTGGGGAGACCTTCGAGTGCTAGCTCTGGGTACTTTTTTAGGATTTCTTCGGACATGACTACGTATCTGGTTTTTACAGTGGTTGTCTTGCCTGTAAAAAGAACAACCCAATAAGAACGAATCGTCAATTAAGTAACAAGTAAAGCCTCGTTTACTTAAAATGATGGGATTGGACAATTTAATCCCATCAACTTCACGTCAGCTTGTATCCAACGTTTACAAAACATGATGCATTTTAAGGCAAAAACAATCAAGCAATTACTTACCTGTCAAAGCAAAATATGAGGTAAAAGTGTGAGACCCACAGGACAATTTTATGGCCTAAATTTGTAATTTGTGGACTTAAAAAAGTAAAAGGGACATTTCACATGCCAATTTTTGGACAAAATGATTATTTATTAGGTGGGATTAAATTGTCCCAGCCTCAAGACCGGACAAAATAATCGGCCAAGGCAGGATAAAAGTGTGGGACCTACATGACACATCATTTTATAATCCAATCCCATCATCATAGTTAGTAAAACGTTGAATAAGAAGAGTTATCCAACCATATCCTATCCTAGCAGCTTAAGTAAACGAGGCCTAATTACAGGTAAATAACGTGGTCAATAATTTGTGAGAAAAATGGTAAATAAATTCTAATTCCAAGAAGCTAGATAAACACAACCTATGTCATGTCACTAGAAAGTAGAAACTACAAAATGCCCCACTGGTACAAAGATTTGATCTTAATACTAGATTGAAATTGGGAATGTGAAGCAGAAATATGCAAGTGGAGATAGATATATATATATATATATATATATATATATATATATATATATATATACACACACACACATATATACACATGCAAAGGAAGAAAAAAAGTTTACATAGTCGAGTGAGCTTTTGTTTCAGGTCAGGGTCATCGCAATTCGTGTTTTTGAAATAACCATCGACCAAAAAATCCTGAAGGACAAGCTGGTGAGGAAAAGCCTTGCCAAGGGAAAGAATTGTGGCCTTCCCGGGATCAGATTTCTTCAAGACTGACACGCTTTTTTCGCTTTCCATTGGCATCTATACTATATTGTTCTCAATCGAACTCTACTTCTTCCTTTTTTTTTTTCTGGCAAATTCAATCAAGAAGGCTTGATTCTTTATATACTTGCTTTTGGTACATTATTTAAGGCCAGCGGGCAGAAGAGAGATGATGCAATTGATTATGATGTTATATACCGTGTTAGTTAAAGGGTGAGAGTTGCATGACACTATGCTTTTAGGTGTTGGGTGGTGATTTGGTCCAATATGGAAAATATGAGGTTTGCATTTTCTTAACAAGCCTTTGAAAAAGAAAGGGCACAACTAAAATCATCAATGCTTATTCTTGTTAAAACCACCATAACAATGTGCTCACATTAAGAAGGATTGCATGTCGATCAAAGTCTTCCCGTTGGAAAAAGTACGACACTCTTAGAAAGAAAAGGAGAAGATTATCATATATCTTGTAAACATATGCCATAACATGGAAAGTGACAGTAATGAGCACAATCAAGTACAATTATCTAAGAGTCAATGCAAGCAGACAAAAGGTAGCCAAAAAAAAATGGAGAAAAAAAAAACGAGCAAGAACTCAAATTGTTTGACTCTTCGCACAATTGCAGTACAGTCATAGAGTTTTCCACCATTTGATCAGCACACAAACATCGAACAATGAAAAAGCAGAACAGCAATTGTATGTAAGGTCAAATTCCCTTAGAAAAACCTGAATTATAACTCGTCNATGGATATTTTTCAGGAACTGAGAATAAAAATTAAAAGAAAAAAAAAAGGAAATAAATGATAAATATACCAGTAACAGGGAGGGTACTGGAAACGCGGCGGCCCTCGGTAATTGACCGGCCGTCAGCTCCGCCGCCGTTTCGCCGCGGTGAGGCGCCACCATTGGATCCAACTGTTGCACTCCACTCCACTGAAGTGAGTTGTGAATGGAACCAGATTTGCTATTGGTGAATGATAATGGGCCATCAGCTCCATTGCAATTTGGGTTTCATTTGAATGGGCTGATTTCGTCCAAAAATTGACAAAGTTTATGGGCCTATATTGGCTATCCTAATGAAAGAGTCATGAAAACTGAATTAGCAAACAAATAATGAGTTTTTCCCCCACAATTTCATGTAGTAATTTTGTCTCCAGTCTTTAGAAAATGAATTGAGTTTTAGAATATATTTAAGAGAAATATTATGTGGGACCCACTAAAGATAAAAAAATTAAGTAACTCCACTCCATGTGAGTGTTATGTACACCTCTATGTACATTTATTATGTACATGTAACATTTTTCTATATTTAATTACTTTAGTATTAGTTGATTAAAGTCCGAAAACAAAAATTACTCTCATCTACAATATTTAGGCTATGACCTGACACTTTCAACTGATTGGAACTCTTAACAGATCCCTTTGAAACAAATTTAGACATTAAAAGTAATATTGAAAATGTAAATGGAGGACCCGAAAAGGTATAAAGTGAATATGCGTTGGACATAGATTTTTGGTCCAAATTTGTCTAAAAAGAATCGCACTTTGCTCGTGTTTGTGATCGATCACAGGTCAGCCAATGTCTTTCCATTGATAAAATCAATGATCCGAGCTGCAGCTTGACCGAGCTCAACAGTAACTGTAGCCAAATTCAGCAAGAACTCCTCAGCCGTGGGCTTATCACCATCGATAATATCGGTCACAGCTTTCAAAAATATCGTGGGGACTTTCAGAAGGTCAGTCAAGTAAGCTATTGCTGCCCCCTGATAAGTTACACATCAACTAAACGAAATAAATTTTTGCACTCATACGTGAAAGGCAAAAACATTTTTTTATGCCTTGTTTTTCTGTTATATACTAAACGTTTCAAGTTCTTGCAGACATAACCTAAAAAGTACTTGGCTATGTTGATAAGCTAGCTTAATATGATAAAAGTGTTTGATAAAATTAGTTAATAAGCTAGCTGAAATAAAATTTTAAATGGGCTTATTTCAAAGGCTACTCAAGAAAACTTATGAGAAAAACTCGACCTTTTTAAAAAAATTTGTCCTACTAAACCAAACTTATTTGAATACAAGAAGCTTATAAACTAATCAAATGAGCTATAAGCTAACTTACATGCTTACCAAACACACCAAACACAGCCCAAGTACACGTACTACATAAAAACTTGAAGAAAATTGGTACTCAATATTCCGACAAACCAAATAAAAGGTAATAGATTTATAATTTTGCTTCGGAATTTAAGATAAGCTCGGATAGTAGAAGGGTACCTCCATATCCTTAACAGTTGCATCATTTGCAATTATCCCAGCTGCATCCTGAGGTGACGTGTCCAAAGAATTGCCGGTGGACAATTTGGCAACCTAAAAAAATAATATATATTACAGTTAATGCCATAAAATTTAAAATTTTCTACGTACACCAATATACAGACATGTATAAGTGTAACTATTTTAAGTTCAACTCTTTGAAAGATTTAAAATTTTAGTATTTCAAGAGCTAATTTATTAGAAGGGCAAATAACAGAATAAAGTACTAAGGTGTGATTGGATATAAACTTGACCAAGAAAAAATAATCAAAACTCAACTTTAACTCAACCATACTCTCCTCAATATTATCAATATAATTAAATAATACTAACCAATCATTATTACACATCACATTAACTTTAATTCACTATTCATCAACTCAAAAAATATTAACTAACCCTCACTTCCAATCATTTTTCTCCTACTTTTATATCAAATCAACTTTAATATTTAATTTTAGATATTATTTTAATTTAAACTTAAATCTCACTAACAACTAACCATACCACATTTTTTAAAATTAACTATGATTAATAAAAAAACCAACCAAATTCATATCCAATCACACCCTAAGAAGTCCATGCACAATCACTGACCTTTAAGTTCAACTCCTTTGCAAGATTCGGTGTGGAGAATGCTTGACGTAACCCAATACAATATATGTCACGTAACTGTGGATCAAATGAACATAAATATCTAATGCGACCTCCGGTTTTTGTTTTCCCGAAAAGAATCAGACCAAGACCGGCCCATCGAACAAGATCATAATTTTAAAGGACAGGCTAATGTTTATATATATTTTATAGTGGAAATAGTAACCAAGAACAATCAAAATCTTTAGATGATACACTTTTTTCATTTTTTGTATAATAAGCACATATACAACATAAAGGTATAGGCAAAAATGTGGCGAGGACTTACAGGAAGAGGATTTCGTCTATCATGGAAAGCAACATGTGATGCTAGAAACACATCACCTATGGAAGCACCTTTTTCCTGGTAAATTCTAAACATCAATAAACTTATTACAACGAAACCTACACGAATAATCTCATAAAAAATTTTGTGGCATGAATATACAACACGTGTTAAAACATAAGCATTTTTTACCACATATCGCGTAAGAAAAAAAAATATTGGAAAACACTTTTTGTTGCAATATAATACCTTAAATCCTCCTGCAGTTCCTGCATTTATAATAAGGTCTGGATGCAGAGCTTGAATAGAAGCATAAGTCACGAGAGACGCTGAAACTGTTCCAATACTATCAACCCCTGATGAGGAAAATGCTAACCAGTTTAGAAGCAGAATTTTTTCAAAGGCTTCTTGTTATGTTTAAAAGGCCCACTATATGTCTGATTATAAGCAAACATAATCCTATAGAATTAAAAATGTAGGAAAGCAAACATGACAATAATAAACAGGAAAAATTCAACGAGGAAATGCATTACTTCACCCCAGACAGATTTATGACATAACATGATATTCATTAACAATGAGAGTATTCCTATAGAATTAGCCAAGAACAAACGCAGGCAAACAAAAGGGTGACCAAAAACGAAAAGGTACGCACCCAAACTTTTGTCTTTTCCAGGACAAACAACGTTGATATTCAAGTTTTTGTATTTACCAGAGTACCTTACCCATGGAACGCCCTGAGGAAACCTGAGTCGTATGTAAAAGCCAGTTAAAAATTGTAAATCGACTGAAAATTAAAGAAAAAACTAAGGGGAGCCGGAGAAAAAAATTGGCATACACAGAATCAACGTCCTCAGTGAGCCGGAGCTTGTTCACCAGAGGCGATGCCTCCGTTTGCATAGCTACACTCCAATTTTATAAAAACAATTCATTAGATAAATGTGTGTGTTTTTTAAAACTGGAAAATAAAACCAAAAAAAAAAATCTTAGAAAAAAAATAAAGGAAATAATTTACCTATAACGAAAAGGATACTCGAAATGCGGCGTTCGGGGATCGACCCGTCGTTCGCCTCCGCCGCCGATTTGCCGCCGTGCGGTGGTGCCATTCGATCGGACTGTAGCAGTCCACACAGCTCACGGCGAATTTCAGTGTAGCCCTTTTTCTTTTCTTTAATTACAAATTTACAACAACAGATACAAAGTGCCCAACGCTTTAAATCCAATCACGTCATGACACGTATGTCGAGAAATGCCGCGGGGTCCAGCGAAGCAAAAAGGTTAAATATTATTACAAAATAAATTTATTTATTTTTCATTTTATATGTAAAAATATATATTATTAGGTTTAATTTTTAATCTAAATTTTTTATTAATTTTGTACGTATTAAGTATTTATACTTGTTCATGATCTTTTACTTAAAACAATTTTTTAATTAAATTCAAACTTTTTTCTTTTATAAATCATCGTTTGATGAGACTAGTAAATCAACTCAATCAAAATGTGAAATAATATTAAAGTGAGAAGTTAATTTGATGAATTAAAATTTTCAAATTTATAGCTAATAATTGATTACTGGTCATTGAAAATTGGAAAATATTTAAGCATCCTACACGATTGGGAAGTAATTGCAACATTACCATTCATAACAAATTAATTGAGAATATACCTAATAGATGAGAATTATTTGCATTCATGCCTAAAATCTGTTACAGTTATTTGGCAAGCCTATCCCATGTTTTTAGCGCACAATTTCCGGATTGAAGATAGAAAGAATCATATTTGGATTTGAAAACACAAGCTTCATTGATACAGACGAAAAAAAAACGCAGAAGTGGGCATCGATCATCATTGATACAGGCGCTATCGTTTTTCTTTCCCGAACATATACCACAAAAAAATTTGTGGTGTGTCGATCGTTCTTTT